AAGTAAAAATATATATAAAGAGATTCTTTGTTCTTTTTGAATGTAGGCTCTAAAAAATTTTCCAACTTTGTTACACACTACATCATAGTCAAGGAAGATATCTGTGAAAGATTATTATGGACCATTGCAATGTGTAGCACAATGCTAGAGAAGGTTGTCAATAGAAAGATGGTAACACACATTTTCTGACTGTAAAGACTTTTAACGTAAGTGAGACAATTAAACAAATAGGCAAATGACAGGAACAAAAGATAGGGTAAGATGAGTGCCATAGGGCTGTACAGGCAAAGTATCATGCCTGAACTTCAATTTATTGTGCTTTCTGATTAGCATCCTCTGAAGCATTCCCTTCCAGTTTTCCCCAAAGCTGAAAATTCCCAGCATGGAAAATAATGAATAATAACAGCAAACACTTATTTAATACTTACTATGGCCCAGGCACTGTTCTGGGTATATCGCATTCATTTATGTTTGAAACTTTCATGATAGATAAATATTATATCCATTTGACAGATGATTAAGACAAAAAGCCTACTTCTTGAGCTTTAAAAAGATCTCTTATAGCCAGGTGTGGCACATGCCTGTAATCCCAGCACTTTGGGAGGCCTACGCAGGTGGATCACGAGGTCAGGAGTTTGAGACCAGCCTGGCCAATATAGTGAAACCCCATCTCTACTAAAAATACCAGAAACTAGCCAGGCATGGTGGTGTGTGCCTGTAGTCCCAACTACTTGGGAGGCTGAGAGAGAAGAATAGCTTGAACCCGGGAGGCAGAAGTTGGAGGCTGCAGTGAACCAAGGCCATACCATTGCACTCCAGCCTGGGTAACAGAGTGAGACTCTATCTCAAAAAAAAAAAAAAAAAAAAAAAAAAAAATTATCTTACATTTGTAAAGTGAGAGTTACTGAGACAAACTAAATATATTGGAATTCTTCTTATTCTGGTGTGCGACTGAGACCATTGCTAGTAAGAACAACAAAGATACTCACTGGAAGGATCGTTGGTAACTCATGAATCTAAATGAAGAAATCTGGGACCAAGCTCAGAAAATGGGTAGATATCAAAGCAGGCAAGGTAGCAGACGCTCAGTAGACAATGCCACATATATGGCCATCTTTGACACTGCTATCACTGGAAATTTGCTGCTGCCACTCTTGGACTCAACACCACTGTGAGTGACTTCTTGCCTTTTGTCCTGGTATCACCTTAGAAGTACTAACATGAGCATCAAACGACTGGCTCTATATCCCAGGAGTTGAAGTGAAAATTTTTTGATTCCTCTAAATTTTTGTTAAGACATGGTTAATAACTCAAAACAGGCCAAAGGTATTTCCCAGAAAAAGAACGGTTAGATGATTTATAGATAAAAATAAACAAAAGAAACATCTACATTTTTCTTATGTTACTAACACTTCTCACTACTCCCATAAGGTGGCTCAATCCTAATATAAGTATTCTTTATACAACCAAAAAAGCATACATCCACTTCCTAAGGGAAATTACTCAAAGTCTCATTAGTTACTACATTCACCTTGGGGCCCAGGATCACTATGCAATGTCCATTGTGCTCTAGTTCTATTATGATACTACATTAATATTATATGGAATCGAAGAAATGGAGAGGAAGAAAAAATATAAAATATACAAATACATTCATGATGAAACATGAAGGCAGTATGAGTAGAGGTTGCGATCTTTATTTCTGTATACATTTATGAAACCATAGTTAAAATGTATTAATTTCCACCTCCACCATCTCTTCAAGGTACCCTTTGCCTTCAGTCAACAATTCACTATAACAGAAGGCTTTACCTGGTAAGCTTACCCAAATATTCTTTCCTGAGAAATACAAGCCCTTGCTTGTAAAGTGTTGGGGCAGCCTTCCATTAACTTTAGCTCTAGAAGTAGAAGTATATGGAGATGTCCCAAGGGATGGCTGGAGCTCTATCCATACTCCTTCATAGTTTTATTTTGTATAAACTCTCTGTTTCCCATTGATAATCAGACACTTACTGGGAAAAGTAAGCCTAGAAATTCCCTGGTTAAAGTATGGTCAGAAACTTAGCAAATCCAGCAGCACAAAACAAAGTGATGTTTCAACACAGAAAGAATCTGGAAGAACTTCCAGTACTACTGCCACAGGAAACTAGTAGCTGCTTCTCCTGGAATGTTGAGCTGCAATGGCAGTGAATAATTTATAAATTACCTCTGTTTTAGCAATACTTCAAGATCCAGAGTCACGGGCAAGAATAAATAATCAATCAGGTGCCCTTAGTGTAGCTGAGGGTAGGGGGAGGGAATGTCTGATACCTTTAGTCCCCATTGTGAATGACGAGCAAGTTTCTTCCTTAAAAGCACACAAAGCCTACTCATAGTTTGCCTCATAAAACCGAGAAACCCCACTTGTCTAAAATAAGGTAGGGAGATAGGTTACTCCCTTTCTGCTACTGCATCCTAGTTCAAACCCTGTATCTGCAGCATAAAAATGTGATCTCTTCCCAGTATGAATGTGTTTGCTGCTACTTATGCTAGCTAGAAGTCTGCTGAATCACTCTGTATAGACTCATCCATTATGATATATTAATTACAACGAAACAATTGGTCAGAAAATGTATATGTTTGAATGTATAGGGTGGTGCTTATATGTCTCATTTGTTTTATGTGTTAGAGTTACCATAGGATTATGGATGAAGACAAAGACAGGAAGAGCTCAGCCAACAATTGTTTAAGTGTCAGTGACCCAGAAAGTGACAGGGTAGGGTGGAGAAGTTGGGAGAGAAGCAGGAGAAAGATCAGTAAACAGAACAACACACATACATACATATACCCCTAAACCTAGAAAAAGAACCCAAAATGTTAACAGTGGTTATCTGTGGGTCATAGGCTATTACTTTCATTTTACAAATTTAAATACAGTTTCTACTTTTCAAAAATAATGCTGCTATTATTATTGAAATACAATATTTTAAATTATTATAGTGACTCAGAAGAAAGTGTAGAATACATCTAATTGAAAGGATTAGCCAAATTTCTATGGATCACAGTGTTGGGGTATTAGATTTCATTAAAAATTATGCAGGTGACATTTGTGATATGGAGTATATCGGCCAATAGTGAAAAAATAACTGGAGTCAAGGAAGAAGGCATATAATCACGGTTTTCAAGAACCACTAATCTTCTAATTTGAATGGGATGGGATGTGCTATTTCAGGTCAAGCATCCCTAATCTGAAAATCTGGAATCAAAATGTTCCAAAGTCCAAAATTTTTTGATACCTGACATGACACAAGTGGGAAATTCCACACCTGACCTCATGTGATGGGTCACAGTAAAAATGCAGTCAAAATTTTGTTTCATGGTACAAAATTATTGAAAATGTTTTATAAAATTACATTCAAGCTATGTGTACAAATGTATATGAGACATAAATGAATTTCACGTTTAGATTTTGGTCCTATCCATAATGTACCTCATTATGTATATGCAAATATTCCTAAATTTAAAAAAAAATCTGAAATCTGAAACAATTCTGGTCCCAAGCAATTTGGATAAGGGATGCTCAATCTGTAGAAGATAAATACCAGAAACAAATCAAGAAATATGGTAGTGCTTCTAAAGAGAGTATTTGAGGTAGAAATACTATATTGTTCTTTAGACTTTATTTTACTATGTATGTGTCTGTACATATGTGTGATCTGTGTCTGTGTGGGTGTGTGAAATTTAAAAAAATCATTCGCTTATGTCTATAATTTACACTGAAGGCAAGAGTTACTCTATGAAAGAGTGCAACAGAATTCTAAGAAATCTTTAAAAAACGTGCTGGCTGAAAGGGTAGGAGTAGGAAAACAAATTAACCAATAATATACATATTGCTTTCTAGACTTAACTAAAAAAAAATTTTTTTTAGACATAAGTGATCTGTATAATGAAGTTAAAGGCAGTATAGGAGACTAACACCCAGAACCCACAACATTTAAAACTACATGGGCTATAGTATCAGTAGACCTGTGTTTCCATATTTCTGTCTTCAATATTGGTTGTCTTACTACCCACAAAGCCAGTACCAGATACGTTGGGTTTCTGTGATAGTAGCACTCTTTTTTTTTTTTTTTTTTTTGAGACAGAGTCTCACTCTGTCGCCCAGGCTGGAGTGCAATGGCGCGACCTCGGCTCACTGCAAGCTCCGCCTCCCAAGTTCATGCCATTCTCCTGCCTCAGCCTCCCAAGTAGCTGGGACTACAGGCGCCCTCCACCACGCCCAACTAATTTTTTTTTGTATTTTTAGTAGAAATGGGTTTTCACTGTATTAGCCAGGATGGTCTCGATCTCCTGACCTCGTGATCCGCCCGCCTCGGCCTCCCAAAGAGCTGGGATTACAGGCATGAGCCACCGCGCTCAGCCAATAGTAGCACTCTTAATTTGGTAACAAGTTCTCTACTGATTAAATCACTCATAGATGCTGGCCCAATGTAACTGATGTGGTTGCAAAGCCCTTTAAATAACTTAATTTTCTTTTGGATGATGTAAAGCACAAAACAAGTGTTCTCTATCATATTCCAAACAGGGATTTAGGAGGCCAGGTGCTTTCTATCTAGTGGCTCAGTTGTCTTTAACATGTTTTCTAAGATGGTCAAAGTAGAGGTAAAATCATGAGGAATAGTACATGGAAGGGCTGCCCAACACTTTACCTGGATTCCTTTGGTGAGAGCTCAGTTGTGAGCCTCATTTAACTGAAAAGCAGGCTAGGAAATATCGACTAGTTGTGCCCTGAAAAAAGAGAAAATGAATTTGGTGAAAAGTCAGCCATTCTCTACCCTAGAGACCTTCTGCAGATGAAATTTATAGGACATAAAATTTAATAATATGTGACATGGTAAGAGAAAGGAGTCAAAGATATCTTCTAAATTTTCAATATGGGAAGCCATGTAGACGGCTATGAATCTGAGTGTTGGGGAATATAGAAAGAGAAGCTGAATGTGGGACGGAAGGAGAACAGTAAGATAATAAAAACGAGCTCCATTTTAATGTATGACATAAAAATATTTTAGGCCTTCAAAGTAGAGACGTGTGGCATGCATTCTGAAAACATAGGCGATATATAAATCTAGAGGCATAATCTAGAGATACAGATTTTGAATTCTTCAAAACATAAACAGTAAGTGGCAGTAAATATCACAAGATTGACTAGGACAGGGCATAAATAGGAAAGAAGAGCTAAAAACAGAAACAACAAAAACAACAACAAAAAAACACTGTGCATAGCATACCTGCCTTAGTCAAAAGTAATAGAGAGACAGAGATGAGTAAAATATTATTTTCCTTAAAGAAGCTCACAGGTTGGTATAAAATAGTCAAGGAAATTATTGATTACTTATCGTGTGATAAAAGCTATAAAACTTTTAACGGATAAAATGAGAGCATAAAGATTACCAACACTCAACTAATGTTTGGACTGAATAAATGACTTATATCCAAACATATCACACAATCAAGCTTACTTTCTTTGATGATGCCTCTCAAAGCTCACATAAATAGGTGACAAATCCTCCTATAGCTATACAGAGAAGACTTCTGCCTCCACTACTACATGCTTACCTTTATTAAATGTTTACTTTGTGTAAAGTAAATCTCCAAAATATATGTATTATTTCCAAACACAGAACAGAAAACTGGGGTAACACATTAGCTAACTTGCTGTAAACCTAGGTCATGCTTTCTACAACCCCACAGTATGTCCCTTTGTTCTTTTTGGAGAATAAATAGACATGCCAATATGACTTGCTTATTAGTTATCTTCTAATTATCAGAAACGTGAGAGCTTGTGCCACGGATTTAAAAAGACAGCTATTATTTTATAGAAAATGAGAAAACTTCTATCATCATTTGTTAGCAGCCCAGCATAGAAGCACAACTATGTAACCACTGTTGTAAAATATGTGATTTTTGGAAATTTACCATAGACATAAAATCAGGGAATTTTTAAAGCAACAGTGTTTTAAAAACTTACGGATATAACCAAGAATATTAAAGAGAAATTTTGAATAGTATTAGCTACATCGTATTTAGTGAACAATGTCATAATTATGGTGAGACACCTATCTTTCTAGATATATGAAATCACTATTGAAAATGGTTGCAAATTTTACAAAGGATTTTTAGGTCTTTTTTAACAGTTTATTTTTCAAATTTTCTACCATTGGTATGTATTAAACAGACTTATGGTTAATATATACTATTTCTGTATATTTTATGATTCAAATATATAATTATATGGGTTCTCTCTTGCTTCTCTCCTCTCTCTTTTCCCTGTCTTCATATATATACCAAACAGGGCAAAGCCATCACAAGTAAATATACAAAAATCTTACAGTCTTCAAGGAAGGTAATAAGAATGTTTGATTTACTTTTCATAGTTCATATTTTCTGAATTTTTATAACAGCATAAATTACTGACAAAATAGTGAAACGGTATTTTAAAAAATAAATTCAGAAATTATTTTAACAAAATAAGCAGGAAATATAATTAAATATATAAAAGCTGGTAATAAAAGCAATCAACGTACACAGTGTCTTAATAAAAGTCAGCAGTTGGAGTAGAAATTACTATTCTAAGGTTTCCAGAGACACCTAAATTAGCTTATGAATCGCTGTATTTAGAGAGAATATGAAATGGAATATCAGCAATGTCATTGCAAGATTGTCTACAATAAATAAAATCAGTTTTAATTGTTCCTTGGGCATCCGATCTAAGAAATTTTTCAGAGGTGCTAAGTCAAGTTTATTTAAGTTAAATTATGACCAATAAGAGAAACAGTTTAACTAATCTTTATATGTTTTAGAATATTTATATATAAATCCATCTTGTGATGTAGAGTATTTCTTGCTTTAGAGTATTATTTAAAATTCCTTCAACTAAAAATAATGACTATAATTTAAGATGATCACAGGCCATGATCTGGCATTGATTCATTTTATCAATCCATTGGGAATTTTAAAGTCTAAATTTGTTTTCACAATTGCTACTTTTGTTTTAGCATCTTGAAGTCTTTCACAGGCTTTTTCAAAGGCAATCATATCCGTAACAAATTTTTCTTCACAATGTCTTTTATATATTTCTTGAGACCTAAGAGGAGAAAGAAAGGTAATAGAATGAGATACTTTTAAATCCTGAAACCATGGCAATCTATTAGACTGTTAATGATGATAACTAGATGTCTTCGAAATAGGCATATACAAGGGAGAAAGACAGAACTCCATTTACATATCTTGGTTATATCATTAAACAATATTCGTATTAGTCTAGTATTTATGAGATATCTATAAGCTATAATTAAAAATTCTCACAAACTACGACTTAGCTTTCCAAAGAGGTATCTAAATCACCCTATGTCATCACTTAAAATACATCCATTTAAGCCTCACTAAATCCAAGCTACTTCTTCAACTCTGTTATATGGACTGAATGCATTCCACCAAATTCATATGTCAAAGTCCTAACTCCCAGTGTCTTTGACTGTGATTATTTGAGGATAAGGCCTTTAAGAAGTAGTTAAGGCTAAATGACATTATATGGGTAGGTCCTAATCCAATATAATTAGTGTACTTATAAGAAGAGGAAGCAACAGCAGAGATGTGAGTGTACAGAAGAAAGGCCATGGGGGACACAGGGAAAAGGTGGCCATCTACAAGTCAAGGAGAGAGGGCTCAGCAGAAACCACACCTGCTGACACTTTATTCTTGGACTTCCAGTTTCCAGAACTGGGAGAAAATAAATTTCTGTTTAAGCCACGCAACCTGTGATATTTTGTTATGGCAGTCCCAGTAGACTAATACTCTGCCAAACCTGGGAAATGTCACAGGTCTTAGGAGATTTCATTCATTCATCCTTATTTATTCAACAATTATATATTGTGATGCATGGCACTAAACTTAGATGCTGGAAACATAAATATAACATGATGTAATTACGTGAAGCTTATAAAAAGTTAACAGAAATAAATGCATGTAAATATATAAAAGATATATGGTTTATCATGAAAACATTACATAACAAGTCAGAGTGAGGAAAAACTTGAGTAAAAACTTGGTAAATATAAACTAGAGAGCAAGGAGGGGAAGACAAGAAAAGTTTAGAGTTAAAATAACCTTTGAACTAAATCTTGGAAGATGTGTGTTTTCCAGTCAGAAAGTGGAAGATAATTTTGTTCAAGTGATTTTTATAGCATGAACACAGTCAAAACAAAGGTAGAGAGGGTAGCACAGCTTGGAATGCTCCAAGAACTGACATCAATCTAATTGTCTGGGTCATACAGTCTGGGAAGCAAATTTAGGCCAGATCATAAAATACTTTATTTATGTGTAGGTATACTCAGAAATCTGAACTTGAGGAGAGAAAGAGAGCATTAAGTCTAAAAAGCCTGCAGCTTATTGATAGTGTGATTTTAGACAACTCATTCATGTTCTTTCTGTCTCATTTTCTCCATTGTTAAGGAGATAATCTAACACATAGGGTTAGTAAAGGACTAAGTGAGTTGATACATTAAAAATTCTTAGGTGAATGCCTAACATTAAATAATTCATTTCACTGGATGGATAATAATGGCGTTCAACAGAAAGACATGTAGGTAGAGCAACAAGATGGGAAGATTAGAGTTCTGACTGGAAATGGTTAGTGTTAAGAGCCTAGTTATTCATGTGGTGATGCCCAGTGTGTTGAATACAGAGAAGTGATAGCTTATACTTAAGAGTACAGGTAGTAAAGCCATTCTGCTTGGCTCTGGAATGTATTGTTGGTGTGATTTTAGATAGGTTATTTAAGTTCTCTCTATATCATTTTTTTTTTCATCTTTATAAAGAGGACATTTCAACTCATAGGGTTTAGGAGGAAGTAAATAAACCAACAGTTTTAAAATCCTTAAAGGAGTGCCTGGCATTTAATAATCATTTTAGTAGTAGCACTATAAGCCTAGAGATCAGGAGAGTAGTCATGTCTGGACACGTAGCAGAGTAGAAATCATAGCAAAGGGATCTTGCACATGTAATTAAGGGTACTAATTAAGTCAAGAAATGTACTAAAATAGCCCTCCTACAGATAAATTATAAGCTGTGAAGAAAATGTAAGTAAAAGAACTATTTAAAAGACTTAAAAAAAGAGAAATATGAAATAATCAATTATATTATTATATCCATGTATACCAGTGTCAAACAATTGGAAAATAAAATCAAGAAAGTGATTCTACTTACATTGTGACCAGAAAAACATAAAATATTTAGACATAAATGTAATAAAAGATAGGAAAGGCCTATACCTAAAAATAATAAAATTTTGTTGAAAGAAATTTAAAAAGACCTAAATTAATGGAGAGTTATATCATCTCAAAGATTAGAATATTATTATGATGTCAATTTTTCTCAAATAGATCTATGGATTAATAAAATTACAATTAATAATGCCAAGAGGCTCTATGATAGAAATTAGAAATTAACATTTATGTTTGTTTTAAATATATATTAATTTAATTCCAATTTATTTTAAATGTGTTAAATTTAAATGTTTTGAATTTATTTAAATTTAAATTTATATGAAAATGCAAAGGTCCTAGGACAACCAATGTAATCTTGAGAAAACAGAGCAAAGTTGGAATCTCTATTTTTCATCCCGCTGAACAATTTACCCATAAATGTATTGGCTTACCACAACCACCTTATAATAGCTCATCATTTCATTAGGTCAGAAGTCCAGGGATATTGTGGCTAGTTGGGTTTTCTGCTTAGGTCTCACAAGGCTGAAATCAAGGTGTCAGCCAGAGCAGTGGTTCTCATTCAGGTCTTGGGGTCCTCATCCAGGATGAGTGGTTGTCAGAATTCATTTTATTATCACTCTTTCCCTGTGCTTCCCTCTATTTTTAAGTCAGCAATATCATGGAAAACCGTTCTCATACTTTGTATCTTATGTTCTGTCTTGTCTCTGTATTTGAAAGTCTCATGTGATACACTGGGCCCATCTGGATAATCCGGAATAATCTCCTTATGTTAAGGTTAATTAAGCAATATCCTTAATTACATATGTAAAGCCCCTTTACCAACACATTCTCAGGTGTGCTATCTCATCATATTCATAGTCCTGAGAACCACGCAAGGCATGATATCTATCTTCTTGGTAGCCATAATTCTGACTAGCACAGCAGACTTACATTACTTGATTTTAAAGATTGTAAGAATTATAAGAGGAGAAATTATTAACTTTTAATAGGAAAATGAAACCTAATCATGAGACAACAGAAAAGGAAACTGCGGTAAGTATAAAATATATAGAATTTTATAAATATGGATATAGGAAGTTGAATGAATTAAAGCTTGAAGTCCTAAAATTTCTTTGGGAAATAGATAAACTATATTGTTGAGAAGGAGAGGCCATAAGTGGTGTTTGAATAGAAAGCTGTACTGTTGGTGAAGATTTCAAATGGCCCTTGTAGGTAATAGGAGAAAGAGTAAGCAACTGTGGGAGCAGCTCAAGTTGGAGACCATAAAATTAATATTGGCGTAAATCTATGGGGCATTGATTTCTTCTAGACATTTATATCTGAATACAGGAAATGAAGATAGATAGTTGAACTGTTCCAAGGTAAGGGTTGTAAGGAATATTTTAGCATAATCGAAGCAATGAAATGAAATAACTTTAGAGATACTGGAGAGAATGAACAAAACAACAATTGAATTAAAGAACCCCGGAGCCTACACTAGAAATGAAAATAAAAGTGTATAAAGGAGGTTATTTGAAGGACGGGTGTCACCATATATTTGAAGGATATGTGTGGTGGAAGTTAAAGAAGAAAGGAGTTGAAAAGATAAATTTTAGTTATAAATAAATATATAGGAGTTGAAGATTTAAGAAGTGGGGCAGTTCCAAGTGATAAGAGGGTCTTTATATGTGTCTATGGAAATCAGTTTATTAACGTCAGGTAGGATAAAGACTGACAGCATCCAAAAATGCCGATATTAGGTAATTGGGAGGGTTTTCTTATGAATTTGGAAGTTAACAATGATTATGGCAGAAATTGGATGGAGAGAAAAAGCTTCATAAATCAAAAATGATGTAAAGACCACAGTAAATTATGACGGTAGTATGGGAGATCAATTGATGACCAAATAAGGACAAGTTGAAGATGATGTAATTGGATAATCACTTTATTTTCTAGCTCTTCCATGCTAAGTGATACCCTACTTCAAAATAGACACCCTGCTGTCCTGGCTTGAACAGTATCATCATTTTCTCAGAGTATAGACATGAATATCTTAGAAAATTCATGACTAGCTTTTATCTGATACATAGATTCTTCCATTTCAAAGTCTATCTTTAATTAACGCTTAAATACTCCTGTAGGTATTTTATTAACTTTCTAAATCAGAGCTTTATGGTTCCCCTTTTTTTCTTTTACTCTTTCTCATTCCACAAAGCAGGATTAGGGAGCTACATTTTCAGTAATGACTTCACTAGTTATTGAAATTATCAGAATGCTTTTAGGTCAAGAGAATAAAGAATCATCAGCCAAAACAGTATCAGAACTGAAAAATTTCAGAAGTCTCCAGTTAGATTTCACTTTTTGATCACAGCTTCTTTCTGTATATTTATACCTAATCTTTATTTGAAAATATTTAGAGTTAGACTCAAAGATGCCTGTTGGGACATACTACTCACAAACATTGCCGTATTCATATGTGCTCTACAGGTTAATACTTTTGCAGTAGCTTAGGAGAGAAGATAATTGAGTTAACATACATTAGGATGCTTGTTTGAGTCTGTATTCTTTAAAAATTAATTATGGCCAGACATTCAATTTACTGTGAAAAAACTAAGCTGATTAAACTAGATTGATTTGCACTAGATTTGTATTTCAATACATCACACTAGCCTTCATTTCTTTTCCAAATACTTTTTTATTATACTAATAAATACTTATTTTAGTCATAAACATTTCCAAAGCACACACAGACACACACACACACACCACACAAAGTGTACACTAAAGAAAATGATTTTAAATTTGGAGGGGGAAATACATAATATTTTTCATACGTAATAAAGTATTACATAAAACACATCAGTAAATAGCTTAAATTGCT